CCCCAATGGTCATGCTCAAAACGAGCTCATCTTACTATGCTGCCAAGACCGGCAATCTTGACGGTGTCGCACGAGCTCACATTACTAGGCTGCTAAGACGGGTAATGTTAATGGTGTCGCATGCACGTTGCAAATGAACTGGAAGCTCTCTATCAGCTCGCGCTTAGCAGCCGCGCACACAGCTCTGATCGCCAGTGAATGCGACGTGGTTGTTTGTCACGTGGCCCATACTCTCGTCAAGCTTCAGCGTGTTTGCCGCTTCGGGCGGGTCGGAGATCTACTAACGAGGACGTCATGCGCAGGCCTTGTCCTCTAGGTGGTAGTGGTCAAATTCGCCATGTTTTTCTTAACGGGACACGGAACGCGGGACGGACCAATGGGAGAGCGCGTCGGCACACCAATCACTGTGCGAAGCGCTAATCGAGGGACTTTATTTAGGCAATATGGAGGCGACATGAGGCCAACAGAGGTGAAGCCAGAAGTGTGGATGGACACGCAACCCAACGATGACCCAAAACCAAGAGACGCTATTAGACGAAATGGAGAGAGCTCTTCTTTTCGTTCAATAGCGTCTCTTGGTTTTGGTCATCGTTGGGGACGTGCCACTCCGCACTTGGTTTCACCTCTGGTGTCCAGAAGCCTCCTACCTCCATGTATCAGACGGGGCCCTCCGGACGTGGCGACATCGGGAAGCAAGGCCAGGGAAGAGGGTGTACGCACGTGCAGAGGCTTACTGGAAAATTTCCATTGTTTCTGCGGCTGCTAGTGTGTGGAGAGAAAGACAAAAATATCGCGAGCGCCGTGTGTCATGAACATATCAAGGGTTCATTCTGAGCAGTGTCTAGTGAACATAGGAAGACTGTTGCACGACCCTTTAAGGATCCGGGTTCGGTGCAGTACCGCCCATCGGTCGTTACCTTTATTTGCTCTAAAACAGGCCCGTGCTCCTACTTTCCCGCAATGCACAGAAGAAAGTTCATCACTGAGACCCACGAATGAAGAGCTCAGCAAACGACGGAACCGAAGAAAACGTTCCGACCCAACCATGAAGTGTGTGATGTGTCACTGATCATCATGACGCTTCACATGCTCACGTCACACCCTTTGTCTGCTTCGTTTTCAATTCAAAACCTTTTGTAAACATTTTGATTAGCCCTCCGAGCGATCTGCGGGAGAGTAAGGGGCAGTCATTTTTAAAGGTGCATCGACACAACAGCGTCTGCCTACGTATTCTTAGGTTACACAATGAGTCACGGGATAATCCATGCTTTGAATGTCGCGCGCAAAGCTACTTCTTGAATTGATTGACACACTTCCTACGAAGCACAGACGTCCCTGTGATTCTCAAAATAAGCAGACATAACGCAACTTAACAAAAAAAAAAAAAAAAAAAGATACAGCGTGACCTGGCCTTTAAAGCGAAGTTGGCAAGTACACTTCACCATGGTTGGTACTGCATGGTTAAAATTGAGCGATGCAATCATCCAAGTTTCTTTGCATTGATAGCGGAAAGGTATTCCAGATTATCTTGCCGCCGCCCCCCCCCCCCTTTCCCCCCCCCCCCCCCCCCCCCCCCACTGGAAGACTGTTCATTCCAAGTTCCGCACAAGAGGGATCGTTTTCAAACAATGCGGACACACTTAACCTAGAAGGAACGCATTCCGAATAATCGCCCTGCTTGTTTCTCTCTGATTTCTTCATCGTGGGCTCATTAAAGTGTTTCTCCTTTCTTTTTTTTTTTTTTACGGTGTACGGTTTATTTTATTTTACTGTAGCACTCCTTACCAATGTGCGCACTAATGTCTGCAGGTGTCCTCCATTCACTGCCACAAGAACCAGAGCGATGAAATCGACGTCAGCGCGCGACGGCGACTCATCTGCGCCAGCATTCTTTGCCTCAGCTTCATGCTCTTTGAGGTTGTCGGTGAGGAGGACGTGCACATCATCGCCGAGTCTAGATTCTGTTCGGGTTTGCGGTCACACCTAGAGCCAACAAATCAGCTATACGCTTCAAAGTAACAACGCTTCGGTCGTCTTAGGTGCTTAAAGCCAACTGTTGACAGATATCTGAGCCCCCGTCTAAAATTGCATAAAACGAATTTCCGCCTTCTGCCGCGTTTACGCTTGCGGATTCGCGGGCGGATCCGCACAGGCGGAAAGTGCGTTTTGGAGCTGGGTGGCGAAATCGACTCGTCGCTGGCGGAAAATCTAGATCAGTCCGGGACTCAAATCCAGGTTTTCGGCCAGCGACGAGTCGATTTCGCCCCCCGGCTCCAAAATTCACTTTCCGCTTGCGCGCATCCGCCCGCGGATCCACAAGTGTAAACGCGCAATTCCAGAAATATGGAAACATTCTACGACAGGTCAAGAAGATATCGCCTGAGTGTCTTGCTAAAGTTCTTGAAGTCGTATTCCTGAGTGGAAACGACCAAAACAGTGGCGCGCACAAGAAACAAAGTCAACGGTACTCTGTAGCTCATTTCGTGGCTCTAGTTACACCCGCGGACACCAGGACTGGGCTCAATTATTGATGGATGTCTTACAGTAAGAGATGCATTCAATGTACGGTGCTGCAACCTGCGCTTAAATGTTTAACTGCAATGCGTTATTCTGGACAGTCCTTAACTAATGCAAGGGACATCTCCTTCTAAAAGAGCTTTGACAGTCACAACCGCCATCACGCTCAGCGTCTTCACCAATGGCAGCTGTCTCGCAGCACCGGTGTATACGATAACTAGGATTCCGTGTTTTCGCACTTTATTTTTTATGAAATTCGGAAAGCGTTTTTCGGAGTTTATTTTTCGCTTTAAATTCGGCGCTTATCTGAGTTTATTTTGTTAGATTCTCCATTCTCCGAAATTAAAAATTTCATGTTACCCCCCAAAAAATACCCATCGAATGTTTAGGACTAAACTTAAAAAAAAATAATAATAATTAGCGCGGTAACAAAGAAAGCATTTCTGCAGCTGCATTTGTCACTGGCGCCCTTGCCATTGGTAGTAAACTGTCCCACGGCAAATCTTGGATGTAAGTGTTACTTCAAGAAACTTCGGTACTTCGAAATTTCCAAACTGCTAGATGCTTAAATCCTTCAGCCCCCCCCCCCCCCCCCCCCCCTAGTTTATGAGAGCTACAGGTTCACATCCCTCACTGTTGTAAAATCACAACCCTTCCTCCCTCTACGAAGCACAAATAGTGTGAACCAAACTGGAAACCGGAACAGTGTTTTTTGGTGTGGTTCAGAAGTTTATTGGCCCATTGTACTGAAGAAACCTTGTGGCAAGGTAAACGTTAAACTCTCTTTCGTCAATAATATAAAAAAAAAATAATAAATTCGCTTTTTTTTGGACCACTAGTTATGTGTTTAGACGAACTTTATTTTGTAAAATATTGTCCCTTTTGGCTTTTTACTTTGCCGTCGTGACCTCAAAATTCGGTGTTTTTCGTATTTATCCGAAAACACGGAACTCTAACAATCATTCAGTCATTTTATTAAACAAATATAAACATAAATTACGTATACTCCGTTGCTATGTATTTTGTGATTACGTTCGATAAAGTCACATGGTCACGATCATTGAAAGGTTTGACTGCTTCGCATGTTTTTGTCTTTAATAGTGTACGGATCATTACAGTCGTGATTCTGAAACTTCATACTAGTTTACATTGCACTATAGATGCCCTGTTTTATTTAGCTACATTGTATAACTAGATTTTGTTTTACGCTTCTTATTACGGGTGCCGACTCCCTCGCGACGTACCGTATTTGCACGAATATAACGCGAGTTTTTTTTCGAAATTACGTGCTCCAAAACGCACCTCGCGTTATATTCGGAATCGAGTTCAGCCACGAGGTGCGCGAGTCTGGAGAAAGCCAGAGGAGAAAGTCATCTCTCCGGCTCAATGCAAAAGATCCAATGGAAAAAGAAGTGGGGGTGTGGAGGGGCATTTTGTAGCCATTGGGCCACGTGAAGGGGCGAATAGAAAACATAAAAAGCATTTTTATCGCTTTTGTGTTTTTACAACGCGGGCACGCCGCACGCGCGCGCGCGCCATGCGGGATTGCGGGCACCGGCCAATTCGAGCCAAGCCAAGCCGGGCCAAGTCAAGTCAACACAAGCCAAGCCAAGACCACCGACCGCGTTTATGCAATCGTGCAACACGAGGCATTTGTTTACGAAGAAGGACCAGAACAAGAAGTGTGATCGTGTATCGGGTTCAGCTGTCTTTTCTTTGCCTGCGCATTGTTTAGTTTCTGCTGCAGAGTGGTCTGGTGTTTGTGCTTCTGCTTCCGCGCCTTGTTTGGATTGTGGGCTGCCGAGGAGCTCGCAGGGAAGAAAAAAGAACTACCAGACAAGCAGGTGCCGTGCCGCTGCATACCTGCGTAGTCGCCAAGTGGATTGTAAACGGAAGGACCTGAGTAGTGAGGATGAGTGCAGTCAAAACATAAACTGATATTTCTTCTATTTCCATTGACTTTTCACTTCTGCTATGCCCCCGAGTGCGAGAAATTGACGCGGCATCGGTTCGCGTTATAATAGTAATAATATTTTTTTTCTTTTTGGGGGCATCAAAAACTGCCCTCGCGTTATATTCGTGGTCGCGTTATATTCGTGCAAATACGGTACTTCGAGCTCTCTAGTTGTACTGGAGAGCTGACTCTCACGACAGGCTCTAACGTACTTAACACTGCCCCATAGCACTGCACAAACCGCTTCCTTCTCAGCCACCTTTCATTAAATTCCTCAGCTTTGGCGATCTATCTTTCATCGCATTTTTAATGTCAAATAAAGAAACGCTAAACATGCAAAAATCAACGAATTTTTTTTTAGGACGTTTGATGCATGCAGCAGACAGAATCAGCGCCCTCAAGAAGACATTTGCGAAGAGTCGTTCGTAGACTTATCCCCACATGTATGGTTTACACAGGTGGCATCTTGGCGAACAGCCTGGCGATAGCGACGGACGCCGCGCACCTCTTGACGGACTTCGCCAGCTTCATGATAAGCCTGTTCTCGCTCTGGATGGCCGGAAGGCCGGCCACCAAGCGACTCAGCTTCGGCTGGTACCGCGCCGGTACGCACAATCTCCAGTTCACAAATAGGAGCCGCCATTCCATAGCTTACGTCATACAAGCCTGACTACACCGCTAGAAAATGACCGGTTCTTTCAACCTAAGACTATAGCCTGGTTCACACAGTTGCGTTTGACTGCGTCTGACTGCGTTGCGGCTGCGAGAAACCAGGACATCCTTGCTGCTTATTTCGCGTGCCAAGATGATTCCCTGAATTGGATTCCACGCTTCATACGAATCACAGGTGTGCCGGTGACTCGCTTTCGGTTCTCGACGTAACGCAGTCAAACGCACTGAAACGCAAGTGTCTGAACCGGCCTTATGGTTGAACATAATAACTGCAGCAGACACTCTGCACCCCCCCTCCCCCCCCCCCCCCCCCCCCCGGCCCTCTCCTCCAAAATCACAAATACAGCGGGGAGTTGAACCGGTCATTAGTCCGGTTTGGTTCGGGTTCGGGTTCAGAAGATTTGCATTTTGTTCCGGTTCGGTTCCGGTTCAGTGATGAATTCGAAACGACGGTTCGGTTACCGGCAGTGTTGTAGGCGTTACCGAAAATAAGTAACGGAGCACCGTTACTGGTTATTTGCAAATAAAAGGAACGTGTTACCGACCTACGTTACCTCAGAATAAAAGGACAGCTTTACCGTTACCCTTAAAAAGTAACGCAGGTTACTTTTGCATTACTTTTTAATTGTATGTTAGCACGTTTTACTCTTTTGACGTCTTAGGTATGCATAAACACCATATTTCAAAAAGCATTATGTCCATCCAGAAACTGAACATAATTAACTTACCTTTTTTACGGTTTCACATAAATAAAAAAAATAAAAATATTATATGGCCTGGTCCCTAGAAACACGAAAGGAATTGAAGTGTAATTTTTTAAAGTTTTGCGAAAAAGATGTGGCGTATAACGTAAAAACGTTAAACGTTACTCCAAATAAGTAACGTAAGTACGGTATCCATTACCGTTTTGAAAAACGTGACGAGTACGTTATCGGTAAAAGTATCGTGTTACCGGTAACGCCATTACTTGTGGCAACACCTTACCGCCAACACTGATTACGGGTTCCATCACGCACGACCCGGTTCAACCCGGTTCTTAAGAAAGAAAAGACCACAGTTCCAAGTTGTTAAGAAAATAATGTGGTCAACAGGGCGTCATCTGCATTAAAAAACAAGTCACCAGAAGCCGCCGTACGCTTCCGCACTCTCCTCCCCGACTGTGTTGGGGGCGCTGCCATTTTGTTGCCTAGCGCAGAGATAGAGCAATTAGCGATAATTACGATAAAAAAAAAAAAAAAAAAAAAGACAGCGACTTTCCAATATGGAGATACCGTGTGTGTCAGGAAGCTCGGCCGATATTGTTTTGGTCTGTCGCAATGTGTATTCGCCATTTTTAGAGGGTGGAAAAGCGTTTCCTGTGACTTTCAGTCAAAACTTCGGATAACTGACAACAATGGTCTTAAGAGCATGGATAGCTGTTATTCTGTAGCCTAACTCATTAACTGGCTCTAGCAATAAAAGAAAAGAAAAATTAATATTATTTACCTATGTTGAATAAAACTTGAGACTGGGGCAGAAATGAACACATAAGTCGAAGGAACAGAAAAGGACTGGATTGTCCTGTCCTTTTCTGTTCCTTCGACTTATGCGTTCCTTTCTTCCCCAGTCTCAGGTTTACTCAACATGGTTAACATTCACCAGCTCGCCTGCAGCCTTACTATATTATATAGATATAATTTATTTGAGAATATATAAAAGTACCTCTGAAACAGTTCCAAAGGGGAAAGTTGTCATCTCCAGGCATCCCCACCAAGTAGAAAGAGGCGGCGTCGGTAGATTTTCTGGTTCATTACACTGCTCTATGTTAACACGCTATTTATCATTGTTACCTTTTTATTATTAGCTCGGTTTTATTCAGTTTTTAACCGAGGAAACACGGAGATTTTGTGTTAGGTTACGGTGAGTTAATGAGAAAACACATTATAGTCCACTACTAAGGACTCGCGTATAGCAAGTTTACGCATCAAACATTCCAGTGAAAAGCTATCCATTTTTTTTTTTCAAATAAAAAAAAAAATATTTTTTAGTGCGATTTTGATGCTAACGAACTGTGAAAACTGATTAGATGTTGAATTAATTGTAAATGTCTGGATGTATCCATTAAAAGCAAATCAATATTACTAAACATACATTTTCGCAAGGGCGTTGCAAACCTTAGAACATTCTACTTCGTTTAAACTGCTTTAGCTGAAGTGATATATCTATCTAAACTGATGACGCTGCGCTCTTGAGCCCGAGTAAAATCTATTCGTTTATATTGGTGTGCACGCTGTCGATGTGTATACCAAAGCGTATTTTGCTTGCACCCTTTTGGATAACATTAGCGACAAACAACAGAAAAGAGAGCTTTGGGGCCCCATGACCAGCTACTCTAAAAAAAAGTCTGTGCTTCTACTTTCACGCACAACACTCAGAGAATCAATCAGCGCAACTCACGGAGGCAGCTCAGCGAATGACAGTGCCAAAATATACGTTTAGACCAAAAAACGCAGTCTGAGTTGTGACATTAAGCAATGCGAAACGTCATGCTTGCATTGCTTAATGTCACAACTCAGACTGCGTTTTTTGATCTAAAGAGAGGTTTCAGCATCGTCATTCGCTGAGCTGCCTCCGTAAGTTGAGGTGATTGGCTTTCCGAGTGTTGTGCGGGAAAGCAGACGCACGTGCTTCTTTTTTAAGTGCATACCTCCGAGGGAACTTTGACCAATTCGTCTCCAGCCGGCACTTTGTTTCGTGCTTTGGTAGCCACACACTGTGAAATATGTTTGACCAGGAAAGCGTTACCCTCAGACCCTCCTGCGCCATTTCACTTTCTGGGTGCCGGCTGACATCTCCTTGACTGGAGTTGCGAATATATGTAGAACTGGAATGGGAATCTAAGAGCTCGCAGTCTTTGAACTACTTCGTAAATTGAGACATAGTGCATATATAATTGTGAGCGCAGCCAGTGGGGCTGAAGGCCAGATTGTCTGTTGTGTGTCTTGTTGTATGAGGTCTACTTGTGTCGAGCACTGGTTAAATTCAGTGTTCTGTTAACTAGTGATGTCATGCCTACGTACAGTCGAAGACATTTGAGCGGGGTTTTGTCCGAAGTCTTTGTGTTGTCGTTGTTTATAGTCTTGCGATATATTAATCTTCAACACTCTAAATCTACAGCGAGACGGAATACGTCAAATTTTTATATAAAAAGAAAAGAAATTAACGTGTTGCTTGCTTCTAATTCGAACATAGTTGCACGCGCTGTGAGCACAAAGGCCCGCAAAATAATCGTAAACTACGTGGAACGGAATTCAGTTATGGTTGTTCTCGTTGGCTTATGGTCCTACTCCTCAAAGTAAAATTATAAAGGATTAGCGTCTTAGTATAATTTTGTAAGCCGCAACGTAACGTGCATTCTGAATAATTGTCGGTTTGTTTTGTTTTTGTTTCTGTTTTTAATTTGGGCAACGAGGTGCTCGTGTCAGACCTGCTACTTTGATCATGTCCACAATCATAGCCTCCTCTATACTGACAAAGCGGTAGGGCTAAAAAGCCCTACCGCTTTTTTTTTCTCGTCGGGCTTGAAAACCATGTTTCGGGTCCTTGCCGCTTCAAACGCTGTGCGCTGACAACCAGGTTTCCCGAGAAATGCTCTGTGCTACCAGACCCTCGCGCTCGAAATCTGCGACCGGGAACTCTATGGCTCCGTCGTCGAACTTCCAGGCCTCGTGAGTGCAGAGGAGGCTATGGTAGTATCATATTTTGTGGAGGCCGTTAGCGGCATATAAAAGCGGATAAAATAAAATTTGTACAAAATAAATTCAGTAGTAAGGTCTTGCACGTGTCTGCTTTCTTTTTTTCTGCTCCTTAAATGTACTTTTAGATTTTTTTGTTTATATTTTACTTCCGACTCAGGTTATTTTATATTGGGATAAACTCCGACTACAGCTGCCTTCTGGTTGTTTCGGAAACTCCTGTCCAGGTTCCTTCGACACCGATACCTTGTCCCGTGAGATAGCAATGAAATTCTACCGTTTTCTATATGTTCGGTATGCTGGAAGTACATATACTTTTCCTCCAAGAAAAGGTGTCCTCCAAAGCGATAGCAGTATTAGAGCTTCTTCTTCGGAGGGGGTTCTTACCTGGACAAGGATCCGTCTCCGGCAAGCAATTAAGCTTAGCTAGACCTCTCTTCTCATCGCACCTTAATTAACTTTGCTCCCGCCTACCCTTTCGTCGCCAGCCTCGCGACACTTTCTATGGGCGAGCTAAAAATAGGCGCCGTCGCTCGATGTACCCGCTAAGGTTTTTGTCGGTTCGTCAGCTTCACTTATTGGAAGGGAGTTCCCCCGCCTGCATGGCTTGAAAATACTAAGGAAAGAAATGGCGGCACGTGTTTCGTAACGTACCTTCTTGTGAAATATCCCGCTCTACTCTCGCTGGATTCGTTCGTGATTTATAGAGTCACTGAACGTTTTTTGACACTCTCTTAACCATGAGCGAACCCTGTCGCCATACTTCTTTTTGGCGGGCCGTGAAGGGCTCAAGGAGTTCCTCGTCTGACATATATTTTAATGGTGTACCTCTATTGGCTGAACTAATGTCTCGCTCATTTTTTTTTCTTCCATTGCATCGAGTGATCGGCTTAACAAATGCCTCGGTTAAAACATTTTTCTCGTAGGAAGTTTGTGATGGGCTCAAGGAATGCCTCGTTTGTCCTTTGTCTTCAACTGCGTGCCAGAAATGGCCACAAGTGTGTCTAGATTTTCTTGAATCGCGAGCTATATGACTGGCTGAGCGGTTGACTTACTTCCATAATGAGCCTCGATTGACCGAACACAGTGAACAAAGGCGCCATTGTTCAATGCCCTTTTCTTAAATTTAAGCAATGCAAATCGTAACGCACGATACTACCAGAATACGTCTGTCGTCGGGACGACGGCAATTAGTTGAGTGAGCCGCACTTCTACGTGCAACGAAATAAAATCAATCTATAGATCTATCTGAAAAATTCCATTACTCAATAATGGTGGTCGCCATCTCTTGGGAACAAGGCGTCTGATTGGACCCGAGCCCTCGCCGAACGCTGACGCAATACTCGTTTTCGATCCGAGTGTTCACGCCGAACGCTCACATAGCCCTTGTGTCCAATATACGTGACCAGAGTACATGCCCGAACAATGGGGAACTCGGATAAGCGGATCGGCAGCTATGAAGGGTCCGCACTTTTGAAGGGGTTCAGTGAAGTTCTTGTTGGAGTTGAGGGTGTTGCTCATGCCCGCGGCGAAAACGTTTGATGCAATGCGCACACATCACGCACAAAGTAGAAGAAATTGGGCGACCGCGTAACGGGTCACCCGATTTCCCCTACGTTGTGCATGATGGGCGCACATTGTTTGTAGGAAACGTTTTTGTGGTATCATAACGTAAATAAACAGTATGCACTGTAGTGTCGCGAAGCCTCCATCACACTCCTCCGACTCGGCACCGAAGAAGATCTCATCAACCATCGACCCGCCCGCACGACACCGCGGGATTGAGCAACACCATCAGCTCCATGCAACCTTTCTATTGCAGTGTACTGTAATACGTGTAGAATGACTGCGTTAGCTCGCAACAGAAACATCCTGTTATATAGTGCACCTTGACCCGTAGAGGCACATCAAGGGAGCTAGGATCAAAAGGCGCGATTGTTTTCTGTAAATCCACACGTAATGCGCGCCGAAAAGGGAGCTGTGGCTGCCTGTGACAGAAACCTGAGCTCTTATTTTACGTTTTTCCCTTGAAACAATTTCTTTAAATCGTCGCACTCCTCTTAGGGTGGTGACGTACAGTGGTTAGTGATATAAGCCAGAATGTGCAAACGGCGACTAGACAGTATAGACCACGCGGCCTAGCAGGCAGCGAAGGGAGGGTCAGAACGGCACCTCCGACGCACGCAGCCGTGCGACAGCGTGGCCTGTACTGCCTGGTCGTCGTTTGCACATCTAACTCATATCGCTGGCCACTATACGGCCATAGAAGAGCAAGAAAAAAAAACACCAGTACTAAAAAGATGAACGCGTAATGCTTAAGAATGATTTATGAGACTGAGGACGCTTGCCCAATCTTGGTAATACCACCGGAAGTTTGAACGCAAACGATAAACATTTTGACTCAAAATTGTTCCTAAAAGTTGCGAATTCTAGAAACCATATATTTGTTCCCTCAACGACCGAATGCCGTGCCGTCGGGCTTTTCAGGAACGTTACGTGTTTCGCCGGTTTCGTGTCTTTTTTTGTGTTTCCATCAGTACAAGATGGAGAGCATTTTGCGAATGTGTCGATGTCGAGGACTGAGTCTCCTGAGAAAGGACTCAGGCGAACCTGCAATATCGCGGGAATATTTCTGGAAGACGGTCTTTAATTGCAGATTTTCAGAACGGCCTGATTGTATTTTAATAAAGCATGCTAGATGGAAGGAGCTCCTGCTTAATTGACGCTGTGCGTAGTCTATGGGAACGTTTTTGTAAACCTTCGAATACACATGGAAGAAAGATAAAAACTAATGTGGTCAACCATTGTTTGTCTATAGAATGATATGCTGTGGCGGCACACATATGTGTAACCACCTTGAGAAACCCTTCGCTCAGCGAGCCTGCGTTATCGCATCGGTTAGCCTCTTCGCTCTTCCTCTCTCTCACCGTTCTATAATTATTTTAAAAAATAGCTAAAATAGCGCTCTATCTTGAAGTGAAACCAAACGTTAGTGGTCTGCAAAATAACAGTGAGTCTGCTGGCGAGTTGCTGATAATTTATCAGAATGTAACATCTAAGACCGGGGTGCGAAAAAAATCAAGACGACTTTTTTGAAGTCGAAGGAAAAGACAACAGAGACAACGTATCAAAATTGAAACGTTCTGCTACTATTACTTGTCGTCTTTCTTTTTTTTTTTTTTTACTTAAAAGTTTCTTGTCGTTTTCCGCACCACAGTCTCAGGTGTTACGTTATAGCTAGTTGTCAACCGGGAATTATCCTATAGCGAATGACGGATCACAAAATACAACGTACTATAGACCTGAGATTTATGGAATGCTCGCATTTAGCAATATAAAACGGCATGCTCATTGATCGCGGCGCTCATTACATTTTTTTTTATATTTTGAGCTTCTTTGTTCGTTACAGATCCCCTCGAGGTTAACAGTGATTGGTTACATGCCTGCTCTGTGGGAAAGTGGAGACGCAGGTGTTCCTGTAGTAACGTTTTCAAACGATATGATTTTTGTACTTTTTATCGAAATTGAATAAACCTAGTCAAACCAATCCATAAAAAAAATTCTATGGGTATATATTACTCTATAACGATGCCTATAGTCCCGATTTCAATGAAAACGGGCCAAATGTGCTTACGAAGAATATATAACTTTTTGTTTCGACACTCGCTCATTCTTCAATGAGCCATGAAATACTCATGTTCAAACGTGGCTTTCTGAACTGGTCTCCATCTGTTGTAGTTTGCCCAGGCTCGAAAAATGGTTCCATCGAATAACGCATTCAAGATGTTCTTCATAGATTTCTCGAGAACTTATCTCGTCGATTGTGACGACGATCTTCATCCCAGAGGTGATCGGAGCACTGACGTCGGTGATTATGATCTGGGCCGTCACGGGTGTCCTGGTGTACATGGCGATTCTCCGGATGATCAACAAGGAGTACAACATCCAAGCTGACATAATGCTCGTTTCCGCCACCGTTGGAGTTATCGTCAACATAATGTGAGTCAGTCCTCCGCGTTTTACAGCGGAGCTGTTAAGGGCTAGTTTCCCCAGGATCGTGTCCCCCGCAAAGAAATGAAGACTCCGAATTCTGGACACCTACCGCCATCTATGAGCGACGGCGGCAAGTCACGTACCTGGTTGCCGCCGTCGCTCATAGATGGCGGCAGCCTTTTCACTCTGGCTTGCCGACTTGCGGCCGGCCACTACTTTCCATTGTACAGCTTAGCTGGTCTTCCTTCTTCACCAGAGTGGAAAGGCTGACATTTTTTTCTTGTTTTCTCCCGGCGTTGCAGACACGTTTTACCCCATCAAAATCGAAGATGGAATCTTACTTGTTTACGGAAAGCGGAACCGCCTTCAAGGTCTGCTGGCTCAAGCACAAAAGTCACATACTAATGATGGAAGTAGCTGGAACTCATGACGCATCTAGCTGACTAAATATTTGTCAAAGTGATTGGGGAAAAAACTTAAAGATTCTTGAAAAATAGGTTCTCGAGAAAAACTAGCTTTTTCTTGGCTTATTTATTTATACCGCTGCTTCTTGTTCAGGACCATTGTAGGAATGGTTACTTTCAGGACATTACAAAATAACAAACGAACAAACAAACACACAAGAAACAAATGACTCTAATATGTCACAAAGGACAGAAACATGCAAGCAAGTACAAACAAAATCTTGACTCAACATTCAAATGCTTTCGTACATAATCAAGAAATTTAATTAGGGAACTAGAGTTCGTTAATTAAGCGGGTAAGTTATCCCAATCTTTGAAAGTGCGAGGCTAATAGAAGTATTGGAAAACATTTTTTCGAGGCAATGGCTCAATGATATAGTACGGATGTTGGCTAGATGTATTGTAACGTGCAGAAAATAATATGTACTTGTCCTAATTGATGTTGATAATGCCATGAATTATCTGGAAGAGCAGTTTCAATCTGTTGATAGTACTTCTCGTGCTAAGGGTTGATAAGTGTGCTTTATTAAGCAACTCGCTAACTGAAGCATGCCTGTTTTATACCCCATAGACGAACCTAACCGCTTTTCTTTGTACAACTTCCACTCTATTGATGTCTTTTTTTTTTTTTCGTAAAGGTCCCAAATTACACTCGCGTATTACAAGATAGGAACAAACAAAATTTTGTACGCCAATAGTTTTGTTTCCGGAGCTGCTTGCCGTAATTTGCTTCTCATGACCCATAGTTCTTTTTAGATGCTTTATCTATTGCCGCGCTGACATCTTTATCCCATATTAAATTGTGTGTTATATGCAGTCCTAAATCAGTATATTAATTAATCCGAAGCAGTGCTTGGTTATTTATGTGGTATGGGAAAAGTGAGAGTTGCTTTTTATGGGTGATCGACATAAATACAGTTTTTGCTTTGTTAAGTAGCATTGCCAATCTTTGCACCATTTTGATATTTCCTGAAGGCTATTATATAGGATAAAGTGATCCTCGGGACTTTTGATTTCATGATACAAGATGCAGTCATCAGCCTACAATGCTATGTTTAATTTGATATTAGCAGCTATATCATTGATAAGGTGAATTCTGGCGCATTTTTTATCCCGTAAATCTGAATATCACGTTTCATTTCCCCGAAGATTAACTAAGCGCGAGAAAACGCTAAAAGCCTCCGACCAATACACATATTTTTTCGGCCGCCAAGCTGGTGTCGCTCGTGTGGACAGTGCGTGCCAGTTGCAAGTTTGCCTGGTATATTTCCCCGCACTGATGCAAGTCGTGACGTCTTTTGCTGACCTTTTTAAGGTAGCAACACTGCGCGCGCGTAGCTTTGATAGGCGTGGAAGATGCGCGAGAGTTGAAATTCCAAAATCTCTGGATATGACGTCACGATCCGAGAAGGAAGGGCTTCAGTGATAAATTATTTTCTGCAGCCTCCGTGCAACAAATTGAAGAAATAATCTTGATATTTGAGATCCTGGAGGACAAATGAAGACGATTTAAATTTTTTTCCTCAAATACAGAACCGCTTCAAGTTCTCTTCTCTCCAAATTTTTTTTTTCTTTTGCCAGGCGATTTATTACGGTGTTAGAAGACTACCCAATAAATATTTTGCTACAGCGCAAATATAATTTTAATAAAACAAAAAAAAAGTAACGCAATTGATCGAAGATCGAAACCGATACCGAAATTGAACTGGGGAAGACGAAGAGATCTAGAAGACCAGGGAGTTGCCGGGAGTCACGTGACGACACCTGACCGCGTTTTCTGTTTTTTTCTTCGTTTTTCCGGCCGTGCGAAGCAGACGAAAAACACGCATGGCACACATCGCACGAAAAACGCAAAGTCAGGCACTTCGTGCTTAACGTTTGCACGTGTGCTCTTAGCAATTCGTGTTCGTAAGACGAGCGATCTATTCAGCCAGGAGAAGGGGCGGTGACTCGGCGACGTCTTCGTGCGAATCAGCTTGGTGGCCGGGCGGGTTGTACGGAATAAATCCTATGTGTTTTGATCGGTCCGAAATTTCTCTTTCGAAGCTAGACAGATTCGCCGGTACCGCGAAAAACAGGTCTGAAGTAGAGGTCCCACGCCCGTCGTTCGTCGCCATCGCTTAGACAGCTTCGTGCAGCCGTCCAGCACGCGACTCCTGCGATACGACGCCATGTTGAGAATTACGCAGAGAATGCGCAAACTTTTGGTTCTCTGTGCAAATTTTTTTTGTTTTCAATCAAAGTGTTTCCAGTTTTTTTTTTTTTTTTTTTTGTAAACCACAAAAAATGGCTGTTTTATATACCGAGTGTTTTTTGTGAAGACTTTCAAAAATCCTAAAAATTACGGCGATTGAAAAAAGAAGAAACTCTCTTCGGGAACAAACTACCAGCCACGGCGGACGTCAGGAATTGCCAAAAACCTACTAATTAGCCAGATAATTAATTAAAACTTGTTAATTAACTTTTTAATTAGGGGAAATAGACATATGGTTCCAATTAGAAAGTTGCTGAGCGTTATCGAAAACCACTAAATCAGTCGTTTTCAGAAAGACTTTGAGCGCGTGAGACGAGTAGTAGCGCACTGAAGTTAGCACTCGTGGAGCAGGTACAAGGCTAGCGGTTGCGGTAAGGCGCCCGCGCGATTTTTCCGCCTGTTATCTAGCCCCAGCCTTGTACCTGCTCCACGAGTGGTAATTTTAGTGCGCTACTACTCTTCTCAAGCGCTTAAAGTCTTTCTGAAAATGACTGATTTAGTGGTTTTCAATAACGCTCAGCAACTTTCTAACTGGAATCATATGTCCATTTCCACTAATTAAAAAGTTAATTAACAAGTTTTAATTAATTATCTGGCTAATTAGTAGGTTTTTGGCAATTCCTGACGTCCGCCGTGGCTGGTAGTTTGTTCCCGAAGAGAGTTTCTTCTTTTTTCAATCGCCCTAATTTTTAGGATTTTTGAAAGTCTTCGCAAAAACACCCGGTATATATATATATATATATATATATATATATATATATATATATATATATATATATATATATATATATATATATATATATATATATATATATATATATAAACGAATATGTGCAGATGAATGAACCGTACTTTGATTCTTTGACTCATTGGATTAAGTACGGTTCATTCATCTGCACATATTCCTTTATATCCTCCTCGGAGACCACGTGCGATGACGTGAAGTGCCCGTGTTGTATATATATATATATATTTTTTTTTTTACTTTTAATATTGACTGTGTGCCTTTCATGACCTACGAGTTTGATTATATTTGGTGGTTGTGCCTAAACCATAAAGAATTGCACGTAAACATGGGGAAGAGAGTAATGGCGAATCCAACCGGTCAGTTCTCGATGGGCGGTTTTCGGGCGGAAAGGAAACAAATTTCGAGCCGGAAATTGTGTTCTGGGTAGATGGGCTCTCATATGTCATCTATAAATAGAAACCTTGGCGAGCATAAATACCATGTTAGTGTCCCTTTAAGGTTGGGCAGGATGAAACCTTTTCAGGTGACCGACACACTTCATGGTAATGAAGCATGTGTTCGATCAGTTACACTCACTGATTAAACATTCGTGTCAGCGCAACTAGGTAATTTTGAAGTTAGTTACGCACTCGAAGCTTTGCCAGAGGGCTACGATTTCGTGGATTCTCAGGACTAACGCGAACACCCTAAAACATGCTCCAGTAAAAACAAAAAAGGGGAAAAAAAAGACTGTTTTAGTGTTGTATGTATTTAAATTTTCATGGGCCACCGGATTGCGACCACCGAGAAATATTCAAATAGGACGTTCTTTCGACCCTCCCATCGGGAATAAGTGGAGTAGAAACTGAGCAGTCCCTTATCATTTTTTGATTCAGTACGTATCGCGTGGCTGTTAATGTAACATACTTTAATACAAGGGTCGTTGAAGGCTGATCGGGAATTTTGTTCATAAGAAACTGGCGAACAATTGTAACTTATGAAACCCGTGGAGGAGGTTATCATGCGCCCCGAATGCCGAGTTTGGCGCATTCGCAGCTGTTCCACCTGTCATGATTATCATCATCATCAGTGTGTTTTATGAGCTCATAAGCAGCGAGATTGCCTTAATTATGATGCACAAAGACTGCACATTTGATATGTCAATGCCCGTTCATTGATGTCGTCATGCAGCATTCTATGTGGGTCATGACGGCGAATGACGTGTTTGTAGCCGTGGAGCAGCGATGTGTTTGATCAAATTCCTGGCGAAGAAGAAAGTTAAAAAGCTGGGAAGTTCAAGAAGATCGTAAGCACAACGTGGGAACAAACGATGCCACGAAAAAGAGTGCCTGAATGGTGCCAACGGTGTGGAGAACTGCGAAATCGAGTGACGCATGAACCCGGTACGGACACGTTCGTCCGACTGAAGTCAAGCCGCCCAGTTCTTTTATACGACAATGGGACCTGGGAGCTGCCAAAACAACAGCAGTGGTGCCTGCACGTGCACAGGGAATACGATAAAAAAAAAAGAGAAAAACTGACGCAGTTTTGTTTTTGATGGATTGTCCATCTCTCTAGGGGAGGGAGTATACAGGTCACTATCGAGTGACCCTTGTACATTATTGTTTTACCACCATCGGCTAAGCTTCTCAAAGAGCTGGAAGTGATTACTGAACCGTGCCCCACACAAACGCGTAACTAAAAGGCGTTTTTTTTTTTTACCTAACTTTAGCATGGGTTTGGCCCTCCAAATCCATCCGCCGAGGACTTTTGGCCACTCGCAAACTTCCGAGGACTCCGCGCGGCCGACGGAGATCACGACCACGGAGCCCTTCGTGCCTTGCCACCCGAACGTGGATTCGTCCCAAGAGTCGCCCGGCTCCCCGGAACTGCTCGGGAACGAATGGATCCCAACGTTTGCGAATTCCCGTGAGTGTTGTTCACCGTGTTCCGCGGGAATCGATAACACGAGGGCGCCAGGTGCCCCGGCAGACTTCCACTTAGCCCGTTTATTCGTAAAGAATTACACTCTAAAGAATGCAAATCCAGATTTCGTGTCGTGCGAAAGCGCGTGCATTCGGATGGACCTGGAAAGCAGCAGATTTGGCTGCCTACCAAACACGCGTGCCTCCATCGCGAATGTTGGCGCCCGTCGCGTGCTACACCGTTGCCCCATACGTTTGTGCTTGCGTGCATTATCCCTGTGGTCACAATGAGAGAAAAAATTGGTAAACACCTACATCATCCGTAAGGTAAAACACAGCGACAGCTGAGGTGTGACGTCCGATTCGCTTAGGTGCCATTTCGGAGCAGATGGACCCAAGGAACGGCGCAGGTACGTGCGAGCGCGCACCATCTATAGAGTCCGCACGTAGGCCTTTCGGTATTAAACCGAGTAACACACCGCACGAAAATTACATAACCGTTTGGAACCAATGAGGGTGTATTGAGTATAGAGAATTTCGTGAACCTGTTAAACAATATCATTGGACACAAACTAGGACTGCCTCGTGCTAATTTAAGAACACTTCGAAAATCGCGTGCCCAAGTTTGAAATTTATGAAACGACGAAACTGCATATGTATGCATGAACCGTGTTTTGTCGTTGGTGCTGTTCATTAATTCTGGAAGCGTTCACAAAAGAAAACACTTCTATTTAATAAAACTGCGGGAAATTTACAGAATATACAGGGAACGTCTGTTCGATGGTGTCGTCCTCGCGATCTTGCCTTTTCCGATTCAATATCTTCTTTCTTCCTCTCGCGACACGCGTTGCAATGCCAATACTACCGAAAATCCACAACACACTCCCCCCGAAATGAGCAGATTCAGAAACGCTCATTCAGCTTACGAGTTCTATGGGGTATATGAGTTGAACAGGTCGCTTGGGCAATCGTCCATTCCGTAAATTCACTAAGCATATCTTACGATTTTATCCCTGCCATAAATGAGTTCTTCAACAAATCTGAGTTCGCCACATGTGTAGCGGCGTCTTGCATACTTCAACAAGCACCAGGTCTCCTCCTCGTAGTGTGCTCAGCTGGCGGCTTGAATACTATAGTGCGCAGATCGCAACTGGACGAGGTATTCGTAACGCCACCCTTTTCAAAAGTGATCAAGATGCACTTGATGATGTTTCCAAAGGCACGTGAAATCCTCGATGATGGCTCTTTGATATGAACTTGTGAAGTCGATTCGTGTGAAGTATCAAGTGAAGTGAGGCTGTTTCCTTTCAGAAAGTGTCTATGAGTGAGCACGTCCTGCTTACCTGGCGAAGTATGCAGAATTGTGAGCGAATTGAATAGATCATATGCGCCAGCTTGGTTTAAAGCTGGACACTTCCATGGCAAACAGGGGTGCCACAATGCAAGTTCTCTTTAAAAGACTCAAGACCCTGGGCCACCGACGCGTAGTACCAACGCAATGACTGATGGCGCACCATCGGTAGTGTTCAGATGTGGTTCACTAACCGATCTGATTTGCTTGTTTCGATTGTGCGGGTGGATCTCTAGAACGACAAAAAGTATCTCGGGCTCGTTAAAGCGGCATATCAAGCCTTCCGTGGCCTTCCAGACGAGCGACTTGGGGCCTGTGAAGGGCCAGCCATGGAGACCGGGGTCAGTCTGAAGCTCTGCCAGCGTGTCCCTGCCCTGTTCCGCGATCGCATCTTTCTGAAGACATTCCTCGTACAACATCCGCGCCGCGATCAGCTCCGGGTTTCTTTCTTCTGATATGATGACAGCGAGCAGCCCTTCCGCTAGGTCGTCTTGCGATGTAGTCGCCGGGACACTTCAGATGCTTGCAGACAAACTTGTAGAAATCGCGGCACGTGCGACGGAAGTAGCTCCGTTCGAGAATTTTTAGAAACATTCGCCCTCTGGTCAAGCAACGCGCGTCCCTGCATCTCGTGGGTCTAGCATGCCGAATGCTGGGATCTTACTTCATAGCCTACAGGTTGGAAAGGTTGAAGACGAGACGGTGGTCCAGTCCTTTCCCATGTATAACTTGAATGCTCAGTGCGACGACTAGCGTAAGTGAGGCGACGGCAACTATCACCACCACGGAGTAAGCGAAGAGCTCGTTTTCGGTTATCCGTTGGGTTGTTCCCTTTCTTTTGAGCAACTTCCTCGTCGACGCCTGATTGCAATACACCATGTCGGACTGCAAAATGCGCTCGCCGTTGTCCTCTTCTTCGCCGACACTCGCCTTCTCGAAATTATTGTGAGCGTACGACACAATCATGTTCGGAGCCTGCCAAGCGTCGGATACTCTCGACTTCTTTGATTTCGAGTAGCTGTCTGGATTCTCATCGAGTCGGAATTGAACCTCGGGCCCGACACTGCCAGATTCGCCTGCAACATCCAGCATCTGGTCCCCACTGATGACTTCAGAGCGTTTTGACGAAGATAGCTGATACTTCCGGTCGTTCTTCTAAGCGGTTAATTTCGGGGAGCGCTGCGAATTCGGCGAGTGACTGAACTTGGGGCTGCCACCTATATCCTTGTAAGTGTACTTTCCGCCGCAAGTGGTGTCTCCTTGAATTTGTTCTTCGCACTCGTGGTCGTTCTCTTGCCACTGCAGGTTTACAGAAATGGGGGTCCGACGAAACGTTTATGCTTCGTCTTGGCGTTGGTTTTCTAGGTGTCGTCGTCTTTTTTTATTAGAGCCTCCCTTGGTAGTACTACAGGTCAAGGAACTCCAAAGCGATGTAGAACCTTGAAAAGTTCACCCAAAAGTTGTGTTGAGTGCTATCATTCTGTCGTGGTTGGGGCATCGGTGTATCTGGTCTTTTGTGATCTTCCAAAGTTGGTCAGACCCGACAAGCATACCTATGCCAGGTACTGACGGTACACCTGGGAACTATAGCTCGTCTGCGACATGCCCTCCCTTTTCCTTGACGCTAATTGTAAATTCGCTGTCGGTTTGTACTTGCACAGTATCCTTGCAAATAGAGGGAATTTCTACTGCTTAAAGTGAACACTCTGTGCTGTCAAATTGACCGCGAAGGCACACTTGGACCAGTCGTAGTTGCTGAGCTTGGGCGTTTGCGTTCCCAAACGTGTTCAAACGGAGGCTGATCTGTTCCAGAACTTCGAGGTTGAGTAGGCAGGGGTGGGTTCGAGCCCCACCCCTGCCCGTCTCTATCTGGATGAGCATCGTACCGGCGTGCGGTCGTGTATCACTACTGCGTGAGCACGTTAAAGACCCCAGGTTAGCAGTCGTACTGCACTGGCAAAATTACTCATCTACAGTGTAAACCAGTGTCGCCCCTATTGGCAGACCAACCTTACGCTATATAAATCAACGTCCAATTTGACTTTTTTAGGCGGGACATACCCATTCGAATAAATGTTCGCTGGCTTCCTCCGTCGATGATGGCTCGGAAGTAGCAGCTTTGGTCCTCTGAGGCAGCCCAGGCACGGAACGTTTAGAGGAGGGCCTCATTGTCAAGGCTACATCTTTTCAAACTTGCGAAGCTGTCGTTCTGTACACTGGAAATCGCGGTTTCTCGGCCAAGACTTTTTGAACGCGGCTTCCAATTCGGGTCAGACATTGACGGGGCGTGTCTTCATGAGCACGTGGAGCATGACACCTTTCCACGACAGCTAGTCTTTTGCTTGGTGTCCCTTCTTTGTGTACCGAAAACATCGCATGTCACCGGATAACCTCTTTTTCTTTTGATCTAATGGTAGGCCATCGGCGCAGTTTTCAGTTATGTGCTTCGTTGATCTACAGAAGAAGCAATCGAGTTCAGTAATTTGTCTGTAATACTGCAGCTGCAGACTTCGCCGGTCGTCGTATGTGGTCGGTCTGATTTTGTCTAGCTCCTATGGGCTCGTCGTCTCAGCTATCTCAGCTCGTCCTCTACTTTCAACTTCGTTTCGAAGGAAGCTCAAGATCTTTGAGAGCTCTCCTCCAACTAGCTCAGTTGTCAACGTGTTGTTGACCAGGACAGCCGAGCCGCTGCTTGAAGCGCCTTCGTTTCGGGTCTTGTATGACTTCAGATGACGTCGTTGGGTATGCGGAGCTAGCTCGTCGGTAGTACTCCAGGAACAGATCTTTCGGTAATGACAAAGATCTCACACATCATTGTGGAGTATGGCTCTGATCCAGTTCCAAGAGCCTTTAGACATCGGATATTTAGTTGAACGTGGTCGTACGTCCGGCGTACACCTCTGGTGTCGTTGGATGAAATGACGTGACGCAGCGTCCACAGTTTTGCCGGATGATCTTGCTCAATGCGTCGCCTGTCTCCGAATATAGCAGAAAGGATGTCGATCGCGTGATTGTAGCAGGCGTCCGTGGCTTGTAGCCCTGCGATCGCCGCAGCTGCTGATCCGGTAAGGGTCCACAGATAGTAAATTTTTTGGTGAATTGCGACGCTCTTGTTCTCATTCACTGCGCTGCAGAATTGCTCCCAGAAGCTCCGCCACTCACCGATGTCGCCGTTAAACGTCTGGAGCTGGAGCTTTGGAAGCTTGATGCCAGTGCGGTTTTTCTGGGCTCTTTCTCGGTTCGATGTTGTTGACTGCGATAACACCGGTGGCGGTGGCGGTTGGACTTCGCTTTGCCGGAGGGATGACGCTTTGCTACCCAGCGAAGAGATAATTTCGGTAGCCAAGTCGTCGTACTCGACTACGGTGGTGAATTCCGCAACGAGGTCCTTATCGGTGATGCAGTCTTCCATCTCGGAGTTCATTTGACGTAGCTCCCGGTGTCTTGTGGTCAGTCGTTCGAGCAGCGATGTTAGCGTGGCCGATTCTGCATTTTCAAGAACTGCAGCGGCCTCGTTGATGATACGGCTGTTATACGATCGTCGGATAGCTCGCTTCCCTGCAGACGCTCCATGTATCGGTCTCGTATCCCGCAGCAGTAGTCTGGGCGTTAGATAACGTCCTGAATTCCGCTTACGCTTTTCGGTCTTCAGTTCGCGGGTTTCGGCACCATTTTGTTGCTTAATTGCGGAATCGTTCACAAAAGAAAACACTTCTATTTAATAAAATTGCGGGATATATTTACAGAATATAGAGGAAAGGTATGTTCGATGGTGTCGTCCTCGCGATCTGGCTTTTTTTCAATTCAACACCTACTATCTTCCTCTCGCGACACGCGTTGGAATTTTAAAACTACCGAAAATCTGCAACAGGTTTAGCTGTCTGAACGTCTTATGCAATGTTGTTATACACAAGCTAACACCACCTTGTGGTCACTGAAGAACACTTCTAAAATCGCGCATTCGAGCTTCAAGCGTGTAGCTGCACCTAATTTCACGGCCGTGGTTTCTCCGGCTTAACATCCACCTAGCTTTATTCGTTTTATCGTCCGAGAAACTTCCTGGCATAATTTGCGAAAATGCTTTGTTTTTAATGTTTCCATTATCAGCAGTTTCATAATTATTTTTCACGTGCCATCATGGTGTCTCGTGACACCTGAATGTCACGTGACGACACAGTGTCACTTGACGTCACGACATCACGTGACTCACGGTGTCACCTGACGTCATTAAGTCCCGTGGCGTCACTGTGCGACGTGACACTCGACATGGCAATGTCACGTCATGGTGTCAGCTGACGCTAGATAGCAATTGACGTGATGCGCGGCATGACGTCAGAGTGGTATTGAGCGGCGTGACGTATATGTGACGTGACATCTATGTGGAATATTTTCGCGGAGTTCTAAAAATTGCCCGCGTCGATATGGACCGCGGTTGTCGGCGCGAAACCCTCGAAGTGTCCCACTAACTGCTATCGCAGTCAAAAGAACCGCAGGGCGACACGTTGCTAAAAAGCGGCAGTTGTGCATAAGGCGGTTTAATTAACAGATCAAAGTAAAACTTTTTTTTTTTTTTGTTTTGTAAAGCGCGGCGGTAGGGAAATACACGATTTCTACGAAGAATTATTAATTCCAATTTCCAATACATTTGCAAGAGCTTGCATGCATCTCAACCATTACATTGTATACAAAAAAAAAAACTATTATGGGATTTGGTGATAGTGGGTGGTGGCGAGCCTGTTTGCATAAAGTCCATTAATAAAACTCACGCTTGGTGTTTCGTAAGCGGTATTCACACGGGGGAGAAATCCACTTAATGATGTGCATGGACGTTGAAAGCGTCCGCAATTCCCACATCTGCTTCGTCCCTCACACCAACGAGGTGCCGAGGGAGGGATATCAGCATTTGCAGTCCAGTTTAGCTGTTTTACCATTGACACTATATCAGCCAAAGTTAGTGGTCACTCTACTTGACATCAAAGCGCTTAACGGCAATATATATTTTAAGAAAAACTGATCCGCCCCCAAGCCGGAATTGTTTGTACCACCCAATCCCTTCCCCACAGAGCTGTAATGTCACAGCTCCGTATCGCAAAAGCCTATTGTCATGTCCGCTGGAGAGTCCGCCGTTAACAGGTGCTGTCAATGCGTGTATATCGCTTTTCAATTTTGATATGCAAGCAGTGGGGAACAAACGAGAAGAATAAAGTCGGGCACACTCTCGCGTGCGAGCACGGGGGCGATCGGACACCACCCTCTTCGGGCGGTTTATGTACTGTTGACATCAGCGTAACACAGTGTAAATAGCCATGTAATAACTAAATCCACTAGTAAACACCTCGCACGATGCACGTGCTGGGCTCGCGTGAACACCGCTTTATGGCCGAGTCCCACTAGAGCGACAAACAGAAACAACCGACACAGACGAGCCTCAAGTACAGTGTACCAAGTATTCTAGTACACTGTACCTCAAGCACGTACGGCATGCACGTGAAGGTACCTTTGGCAGGCTTGCAGCGTCTCGGTGCTCGTCAAGTAAGCACGAGTGATCGCAAGCCTGCAAAAGACATCCTCACGAGCATTCTGCGCGTTCAGGAGACTTTTCGATGTCGGTTGTTTCCGTTCGTCGTTCATCTGGTGGGACTCGGTTTGTTTTGGGAACGGGAAAGACAGGTGTCACGAGGAAGTGCTCCCCCGCCATTCGCTTCCTTGGTCAGAACGAGGCACGGGCACCTTGCATTGGACGCTACTTGCCAGACAAACGCGCACACAACAAAGGGTCTTCATGCTTACAGGCACGCACTGGTGATGCGTAGTGTCCCATGACTAAGACAGGAGCCTGTGCCTTTCTTCCTAGACGTCATCTGGATCCACGCACGCAGCGTCGCCTATAGCAGGCGTCAGCGTCGCCGTGGACGCCGCAAAGCGGCACACGCAACAACGCCAGACGCACGTATATTTGCCGCTTTGCGGCGTACTCTCGTCGATTTTCAGCTTGCTTGCCTCTGGAGGCGGGTCGGGGATCGCTTAATAATGACGTAATACAAAGCCTTGTTTTCTAGGTGTTGACAAGTGTCCCCGATAAGAGGATAGCAACTTTGTGGCCGAGGACCACAAAATTGGTTCCTCGGTGCAAACGGGCGGAAAAATCGGGTTTCATTTCTCATACTTGTTTTCCGTGAGCAGTCATATAATTATAAATGAAACGCTTCGTTTCGTTGGTTCCAGAAGCTGATCATCTTCCGGCGCAGTCTTCGCTGAAGACCAACGAGTCGTTCCCAATATCGGAGCCCACTTTACTTCCATCGCCTCGCCATAGCCCGGACACAGCGGTCCCCACCTCACCACAACTGTCAGACTCACCGATCCCTCCCGGTTCAAGCACACCTCCGTTCAATACGACACCTCAACACGAAGTCCAACGGAGCGCGCCAGAAGTTCTTCATACCATCGAAGCCACCGAGCCTGGTGCAGCTCCCGATGAAAAAGAAGCAATCTACCCAGCTTCGAACGTAATCGACGCGGCACTCAACAATAAACAACAAGGAGCCAAGCGCGATTCATCGATCGAGAATAGTTTAGAGGCTTCGGCTTGTTTTCAAGCATTAGGCCAGCAGCCCCCAGCTCCGACTGTAGGAGCCACGGCTAGTTTCCCAGACGTCAAGCTGGGGCCTACATCAAGCGTCCAGGAAGCCTCATGTGCAGCTAGGGATGTCCAACAGAACACACAGGAGGCTGCATCTTCTCAGTATCCTAGATTAGAACGTGGAAGCCCACAGGGGGCTATGCTGGTCGGGACTGGTGGCGGCTCTCGCGTTAAAGTGGGACCACCGTTGCCGACACCAGGTGCCGCTAAAAGACCCGTGGAGCGTACCGGAACCGAAGCGCCACCAGAGAGGCACGATGGGGTCATGAACCTCAACGTGAGGGCAGCCTTCATCCACGTCCTTGGTGACCTTATCCAGAGTGTGGGCGTTCTCTTGGCAGCCATCATTATATATTTCTGCGTAAGTCGCGGCAAGTGGTGTTACCTTCTATTGTTGGTGAAAGGCTAAGAATTCAGTAGAGGCTCATCCTCACCCACGCGCTCGTTGCCCTCAGGCGGGGTTGGGCTGCGAGTGCGACAAAGTGTTCAAAGGCAAAAAGCTCCCGCTGGAGGTGGAGCGTCTACTGATTTCTCTACCTGTCACCGAATATAGGTCACTTGAGTTTTAAATGTACGTTGAGAAGTTTCACTTCTCCCTCGATTCGTTAAGGGGGCGATGCAACAATTTTTGTGCTTTGCGCTAATAGCGCTTAGAACGAATCCCCGACGTTTATAACCAACGAAAACCGCGTTCATTTTGCACCTTTCGCAATAGAGGTCGCAAAAAAAATTTTAAGAAAAACGGGCAAAGTTTATCTCCTCAACACGCAACCAGAACAGGCAACCACGTAATCTAGAGCCGATTATATGTCGCCAATGTTGGTAATAGCCACGCGCCGCTGGGGTTGGCAAAGCACAGGACACGCGCTGATTTCAAGACAATGTTATGATTTGGCTATTGTCGTCATTGCAGCAATTGGACACGAGCCACTACCCGAATGCTTGTCGAGCTATTGATTATAACGATAATATTGATTATAACGAGCCCAAGGCACGCAATGCTCGGGTTCAGCCTATGATCCGTATGCAAATATTGTCACTGGGGGAGACTGCGATCCCCCAGCTATGCCATCAAGTTTTGCGAAGGAGATTGAAAGAAAACGCTCGCTTTTGTCCTTCAAATTACACCGCAACAAAAAAATAAAAATTTCTTGGTCAGTGGCGTTGTGTGCGAGTATACTTGGGTACCACTAGTGCCAGTAACTTCGTGTAAATTGAAAAGCATTCCAAGCAAATATCTTTGCACGGCCCCTTTAAGTTGCAACTTTTCTCATAGTGTCGATCGGGTTCGCTGCCACTAAAAACAATGCACAATGTCACAGGCCAGAGTGTACGGTTATTTTTTCGAATGATGTATGCGCTTTACCCACGCCGACAAAGAGCTGTTCTCACAAGAGCTATCCAAAAACCAGCCAACAAAACGCCATTTTGTCGATTTGTTGATAAAAATCCCGGGCTGTGCCTTCTATTTTTGTTCCTATGCATACAGTGAGGCCAACTGTAAGCCTGGAAAATTTACTCTGCTGTTTATCAGCCTTCGAGGGCACTGCCGCCAACACTACCCATCATTCAGTTGCGAGCCCCGCATGTTAAATGAACTCTATAATGAATGAATTTGGTACTCCCACTCTCTCTCGCTATGACCTGAAAGAGCCTTCCCTTAAAACTTCGTGGTTTCGTCAGCAAAATCCATGGCCTTCAGTCAGTCTCCAATTCTAAAGGAATACAGCCTCCACACGCACGAGCCTGTTTGGAACCGTTCGGCGCATCCTTTCCGGCAGCCCAACTGCGGCGTGGTGGACCCGATCTGCACGCTGCTGTTCTCGGTGATCGTGCTGGTGACCACGCTGGCCATCCTCAAGGAGGCGCTCAACGTACTCATGGAGGGCATCCCACGCTCCGTCGACTACCACCAGGTGCGCGCCATGCTGCTCTCCGTCCAGGGTGTGGCGCGCGTCCACGACCTCCACATCTGGTCGCTCAGCCTGGACAAGCTGGCCGTCTCTGCACACGTCGTCCTCGGTGAGGGCGCCCTCGTTGAAGGCTGGATTACACATTTGCGTTTGACTGCGCTCGAGTTCGATCGCATTCCTTTGTAACCGCTTGACACTAGAAAGCTTGTATTACAGAGTGTCGTCAACTGCTCGGTTGGGGTCACGTGGTTAATGGGTCGCGTCTGCAGTACGAGCTGCGAGGAGGTGACCAACGCGTTGATGGTACACGAGCGTCTCCTTGCCACGCGACAACTCAGCGCATGTACACATGCGACCAATCGGCGCAGGAGGCGTTTACCATTAAAGTGCACATGCTCCCATATAGTTTGAGATATACCCTCTCTGCAATCTAGGCTCTTTGGGACACTTGGAACACTTTTGACTAACGTATATATAATCTTATAAAACCGCCCCTCCCCCCCCCCCCCCCCCCTCTTAGTGTGATTTCAAGAAATCTATGTTTCACCGTGGGCTTGAAATAATTTTTACAACGTTGTAAGTGGCACTATTTTTTAGACATGTACACGTTACAAAATAAAAGTAACTAAATAGTTACTGGTTACTGGTTCTCAGAACGAACGCGTTACTTTACCTGAAGAGTAGCGAATTACTTTTCTCGTTACTTTGACGACCAAATACACAACTACCTTTGTTGTATGGTTTATTGTTTTCTTTTCAGTACTCATTGCACGTAAGCAGTAGCTGCCTCTGGAAGTTTCATCAGTTATGTTTCCCCGCTTCCTTGAGAATACATCTCCTGGGACGCTGAAACGTCGTTCTACGGACGTGCTCGAAGGAACGGCGGTGTTGTGCTTCAGGAAAAGCTGTGTGAATCTAGGATTGCCCTCTATCTTTTGTTCTTTTTGCTTCTAAAGTTCGACGTTGACAGCGTCTTCTGTGTCTTCCCGCGTTGGCAACCTCCGGGTTTACATTCGACCTGTACACGATGCTAGAAGGTTCAAGCAACGAACCTTATTGTGTTCTCTCGGTGAAGGCCATTCCCAGCTGTAGGGTTCGACTGACGTGTTCAGCGATAAACGTTTTGCTATACTGTTATACTGTTTAGCTGTGCTCCGGGTTGCTCATCTGCCTTTGTTGCAATAGACGCATACTCAGGTACGAATTAAAACGAGGCAGTTTAAACGTTGTTGTACATGTTACTCATCAAAAGTAACGAACCAACGTTACTTGTTCGTCACTTGGCCTTAAACGTAACTGAATACTTTACTCGTTCCTTTTCTAAAAAAAGTACCTAAATATGTTACTTGTTACCGAAAAAAAGTAACTAGGTAAATGTAACTCGTTATTAGTAACGCGTTACGTACGTGTCAGCTATTTTCTCACAAATTGTGCGTAGATTAGATCGCGAAAACAATGTAAAAGTCTAGTTATACACAGGTTGGAAGTGTTCCAGGTTTACCCGATAGTTGGAACCAGTGTGAGGGTACTTTGGCTGGGAGGCGCAAGCCGCCGCCCAATTTAAAAGGTTCTGCCATGTCCGTTCATCCATCCATCAATCCATCCGGCAAGACACTCCAGCGCAGTCAAACGCAGGGATGTGAGCCAGGCTTTGCACTCCGTTCACCCCCTAGTTGACGGCGCGGTGGAAGCCACGTGCTCGTTAAACCAGTCAAAAGTCAATTTGCGCCACGTGATCACGCTTCCGCCTATACGCACACGCGGACAGCGGGATCGGGTGATGAAAAGGGATGCTGTTGGTTGGTCTCGGGAAAGCGCAGCCCCCACCGCACAGTCAGCTTAAGTGTGGACGTTGTATACACTGCTTCTACGTTTCATTTTGGAATCGATCGCTTTACTTAAACACTGGCAAGGCTCAAAAAGCAAAAAAAAAAAAAAAAGCAAAACAAGAAAAAGCGAGCGTAGAAACAGTAGATGGGTTGCCACATCTTTCAACATTCAACACACGAAGTTTGTTGTGTTCTTTCTGTGTATATTTCTGTTTTATTTTAATTATTATATCAACATGTCTACATTGAAAGTGCATGACGAGGCTTGTTTACGCCTATCCTGATATCATCAGATAAAGACAGAATGACCCTACGACTCTAGCGGAACTTTATTTTAAGCAACGCAGATGCATTGCTTAAAATTTTAAGCAACGCAGTTGCATCGTCACGAAAGCCGTGGAGCCGGCGCGGGCGTCGCGCTTGCGCAGTGGGGGATTGTGGTGTCACCGCCGGAGCGCCGTGTGCAAAAGGAAAGACGTGGTGCGCTTCTTGTAGGAATGCGCTGAGTGTAGGAATACTTTCGCATTCGTAAACATAAGCAGTCTTAAGTATCTTCATTTAAGTTTTTTTGTGTTTTTTTATTCAGGAAATTTTGAGAGCGTTATTGTATTTACCCGAAAATATATCTATACTTAGTATGAATGAGGAACGTGTGGGCGGCAGCAAAGGTAGGAAGAAAGAAACGGAGAATGCAGATTACACGTGCGCCTCTTTCTAGTGCCGTTGTTCGTCCGGTTTGTTTATTCCTCTTCATATATAACCACCATCTTACGCAATCTTTAGTTCACTTGAATAAAAAAAAACGCGTTTACTTGCGGCACACATAATAAGCTATATTTGGCGATTTCATGAAGAGTAAGGGAAATGACAAAGCAGCAATCTTATTTGTAATACGAAAAAAAAACCCGACTGCGTGACAGTTTTGTTTTAAGAGTCCTAGTGCATGCAGGTCGCATTAGTACTTCCCGCGTCATTGATGATTCAATTATAATTTATCTGAGTAGCTCTCGTCATGTGTTTTACGGGATGGCAGACGGGCAGGCTTTGTTTGTAAGAAGATGCACCTTCCGCGGTAAGTGTTCGAAATGAGTTCAGCTATTTATTGGTGAGCAAATAACAAGTTCGTAGAACATATACTGCGCGGCACTTTTAATAAAAACAAACAATCGTCGTTTCTTTTTCGTTTTTTTTTTTTTGGGGGGGGGGGGGGGTGGGGGGGGGGGTTAAGAGGAGAAGGGGTTTGCAAAAGTTGCAAGTGTGAAGGAAAGTGATAATTTGGGGCATTACTTCAAGGGGCAAAGTTTGCTTTCCGTCAACACCATTTCGAGATAAAAAGCAAAGTGCCAATGTGGTGTTTCCGCTAAGCGTTGTGCAATAAACAAAAAAGGCAAGCTAGTGGCAAAAACAAAAAGCTGTGAGCCTAATGGCACTTTGAAGCAAAATAAGACGCCTGAGTTCAATGAATAAATTAATGAATAAAAGCGTGTACTTGTCTAATGAAAAGTTCGCTCGTTATGGGTCGGTGGCCCCAAGGTGAGAGGGAAAAGGGTTATAGGGGATTGATGGAGAGGGGTAAATGACTGTGTGATAACTTAGATGAAGTGATGAACTACAGAGATCCTGATGTAGCGTATCAGGGACTTCACTTTTCTTTCTGAGCTGCGCATTGCTCCTTAAGTTGGGTTAAGTCATCCAGCTTCGTTGGCTTCTCGCTCGGTAGCGAGTCTCCAGCCTCTGCCCTGAATAAGCCAAAAAAAAAAAAAAAAACGTGCTGGGTTTTTTTTATTTTTTTTTTTATATTGTCGCAGTTCCCGGCGCGAATTCCATGGAGGTTCGTCGCAACGCCTCCCGAGCCATCAGACGCAGCTTCGACGTCTTCAAGTTGACGCTGCAGATGGAGGAGTACGAGGAAGGCATCAGGCACCACTGCCGCCAGTGCATCGAACCCAACTAGAACCCCGGTCTTCGGGATATTGACCCACAGTTATTTTTATTTCATTCACTACGCATTATGTTTTATACAATTTCAGTTAAGAGCAGATTTTCGCTCTCACTCGCACCCCAACAACCTCACTAAAGCGGCGTTCGTTTTTTTTTTTTATTCTAAATATTATATATAATAAATTGTGCATTTATTTATAACGATGGTAGATTAATTTGAACATTTTTGAACAATAAAAAAAATATTCCCGCACTTCTATTTTCTCATGGAGCACACAGAGAGTCAGTCACTGCAATTTACAGCAGAAATTCGGCAAAAAAAAAAAAAAAACACACACACAAAAAAAACAAGTTTGGAGGACGTTGAAGCTTCGCCTTTAAGAGTGGACCGCGATAGCGAAACACATAAACTCCCGCTCGTTCCCATGCCCTGCAAGCGTGCCTTGCGTGGTACAAAAAGCAAAACTTTTAGTTGAAGGAAAAGACAAAAAAAAAGGTCGTTTCGAACTCTGTAGCTTTCTTGGCATCCACAAATCCTCATACACTCAGACATTTAAGGTTGGCAGCCATTACTGAACTTCCACAAAGAGACCTACAGTTATTACAAAAGAAGAGGTTATCTGACATCGAAATCACTCTTGTATACGAATATTGGTAACTTAATAGGTACACAAAAATTAATCTTTATTTCTTCTCCCCTTGACCCCGCCTTATAACTGAAAACGAATCCAACCTTCACGAAAAATGACTTGTAGTTTTCAAGACTGACCTTGCAAAAGCCATGCCCTCTTCTTGACTTGCTCGTCTTGCGGACAGCAACACCAAGAAGCAGCTGTTGTTAAGTTCCAACAAGGTTCTTTGATAGACTGTTAGATATGAGGTTCTTGTAAAACGCTCTTGCCATGTGGGGTAACAGAACATTTGGCTCGTCTGAGTCGACCTCCAGAAAAGATGGTTAAAAGCCGAGATTTTTAAAGGCGAATACATCAACAAATGAAACCCCGCTTTCGCTTTTCTACTTCTCCTGGTGCCCTTCCATCAATGCATTCAGATTCATGTTGCATTCGATGGGATAGATGAAAAAAAAACAAAAAAAACCGTTTGCTTGATCTAACTAAATATGGTAGTCAGCAAAATACTGATGTAACGTATATGTAGCAATACGTTCCATTTTGTGAACTGTAACGGGAACGAGTTTCTTTTACATATATGGACCTTGTAACGCGAACGTGTTTTAAAAATCAGAAGGAACGAGAAACGGGCTTTTGTTCCTTCTTTTTTTTTTTTTTTTTTTCTTTTGAGGGACGCGTACTACACTGCTCCTGGGTAACTTAATAATAATAATAAAAAAAAATTAATGAGTTCAGTTGGTAGAGCGCTGTACGGGAAATTGAGAGGTTCCTGGTTCGATACCATGACCAGGCAAATTTTTTCGGTCGCGCACAAGTCACCTAGCTGTGTTGGGCGTTTTGTGTTTGTCCTTTGTCCTCCCCGTTCCCCTTCTCCAGGGACTACTTCGTCATACATATATTTTTAATCACTTTCATTCCACGCGTGACGTCACGTTTCACGTGGGCGTTGTTGGTTGCTTGAAATTCCCGCGCGAAGTCATGTGGCTGTGACGTCATGACCCTATCGACCAATCAGGATTTTCGCGGCACGCTACCGACGTCGGCTTTTCTGTCACGCCACCGGTTTACAACGACAGGAGCTCCTTGACGCTATCGTGTTAAAATATTTCCAGCGAGAGCTTAAATTTATTATGTGTGAAAGTGAACGCGACGTTTCCTATGTTCACGCCCCCCAGGCTCAGCTTACTTTATTCTTAAATCAAGCCTCTCTATCGGAATCGTGACCCTGCGCGCTCTCTCCGTAGATAGTGCTGATTGACTATTCAAATGCTCTACCGGAAAATAAAAGCACGGGCACTTTTAAAGTGTTGCCGCGTGGCTTATATCTATCGCGATTATGTGGATAGTGCATCGAAGAAGAAAAGTTGACACAGCTGAAGCGAGCAGCCATGCACGCCAAGACAAGCACGGAAAATGGTTACAATTTAGGGCGTTTTTCTCTGCCTGACCCCCCTCTTTCTTTTTTTAAAATTTGAGTAAAGATAAAAGTAATCGTAAGTGGCAAGTGTGTTAGACTTGCCCTGGATCCGCCGCCTACACCGAGACGTGTGGCCGCGAAGAAGGTATACGTGCCAACAATCTTGAGACTGCACCAGCGAAAGTGCGGTAACGTATAAGCTAAACTTCAAATGTGATTTTATATTTGCCTGTGTATCGTTCGCAGTTCTTTCAAACTGTTTTTTCACATCTGTATTAGGCTCTTGCAAACACCTTTTTTGAAACCAGACCCAATTCTTTCTTTCTTGCCGTAACGTTCATTATGCATAGCTAAAAATCGAGTTCTTTAATGGTGATAACAAAAGATAGCACTTATTCAGTCGCCCACTTCCTCTCTCCCTGCTTTTTAATGACATGGAGAGTCACGACCTTCAAAGCAAAAGCCAACAAGGTTCACATAGTACACAGTCTTACCCAACAGCCCAATCGACCGGGAAGATCGTCTCTTTCTTTCAGATAGTCACTTCCCCGCTCTTTATACCGCGACCACACTGTTCGTTTTATAACTCTTTGATTCGTTGAAGGTCGCAACTTGGTGCCTTTTAGAAAAACGATCTGGAGAAGAAAGCAAAAACAAATAAAGAATTTCTCAAGATTAAGCGAAGTTACGCACGCGAATACATCGCCCGAGTCATTAAATTGAGTAAGAACTGAACTCGTCACACCAAAAAAAAAATATCGTTTTGCACATTATTCATGTACTGCACAAACTAGTTCTTACAAGATTTGGTTGTCGAAGAAAGAAGCGACGATTTTGGATTTTGAAACATGTACGTCTTGGTAAAATAACGTACACTTAATTGAAGATGCAGCTGCATACGTATTTATTTATTTATTGTTCCCTCAGAAACAAGGGTATTACAGAGAGGAGTGGTGAGGCAACTGGACAAGATAAATGGACAATATAGAATAGTTAAACGAGGGGGAATACATGGTTTGGTACATTTGAGCAAGAAAGAACACAATCAATAATTGATGTTAGTGATGCAGGCGGATGATTCCCCTCATTTGAAACTCTAGGGATGAATGACGCAAAATATTTGTTATAATGGCAAAAGGGAACTCCTAACTTGTGACGGTGATCTGGACGTGCAGAAACAAATGATGGTAAGGTTATTAGCTGATTTCTGAGTACAGTGTTGTGATAGAAAATTTTCTGAAAAAGACAAATACTACAAATTATTCGGCGATGTGCGAGGCTGGGTAGAAGTAAAATGCTTTTAATTGAAGTTACGCTCCGCGCGTTTCATTCTGGCTAATTAGCCAGAATAAAACGCGCGATCTGTTCTGTATCGATTGAAGTGAGCTCAATAAGGTAGGCGGTACCGAGATCCCTGATGGAAAATCAAGATTTGAACTCACTAATGCTTCGTAAAGAAATAGTTTTAACGATGAAGGGGCCAGAGAAAAATTACGTTCAAGAAAACCAAGCGTACGATTAGGTCATTAGTCACAATATGTAGGTTTCAAAAAAGCTAAGAACTTAGGATCACTCCGAGGTTATCATGTTGTTTAACACCTCAGACCGTGGTGCAAAAAATGATTTTTTTTTTATCACAGCCTCAGGTGCTAAACGACATGATTCGCTACCACCAGCCCATTAGCGCACTTAGTATTTTCACTCTTAGATACATAGAAAGGTTTACGAACTATATTAGTGCGTTAAGGTTATACGTAGGAGTAAAACTAACCTTACGGGCCATGCGCATTAGTTTACACTTGTTAATGTTTATTTCTTGACCAGAACCCACGCCATTTTAAATTAGAATCCAAATCATGCTGTGATTGCTCGGAGTCAGTGCCATTAGATATCAATCGAAAGATGGCACAGACGTCATTAAATAATTTAATTGAGGACGGGACAATACTGGGAAGATCCTTAATATAGATGTGAAAAGAGCATGGCATCTCAAACAGACCTTTGAGGTACGCCGAAAAAAAAAGCACGTGAGAGTAGAGTTGATGCCATTACGAGTTACAAATTGCGAACGATCAGTTAAAACTGCTTCGATCCAATTAAACATATTAGGACCAGTCTTCCAATTTAATTATGAAGAAGATTGTGCGATACCTTGTTAAAAACCTTTGCAAGGTCAAGAGAAAAGCAGTCCATCTCGGATCCTTCATCAAGACCAACATGAACATGATTAGTGATGCTGAGTAGTTGTGTTTCGCAAGAATAATTCTTTCTAAATCCACGTTGAGAGGAGCAAAAAAGAAGGTGGATTCGAGGAAGGCAAGAAGTTGTGTGTAGATGATGTGTTCGAAGACTTAACTTTATATCTTAGTTCAACACAGGGAGGGGCCTTGGAAATTAGTAACATTTCGCAAAAAGTAGGAAAGTTTTATTTCTATACGGTTTCTGAGTGTAGCCATACTCGTTGTACAGGAACATTTCCTGTGTCCTGATTTTATTTAGAGCAACTTGTCTTTCTTGATTAGCTTTGAGTTGTTCTCACTATTAGCGCCGAGATGTTTCGGTGGCGCCCTCTTACGGTTTCCCTCCGTGACGTCACGACTGGGATTTGCCTCGCCGTGACGTCACCAGTTGTTATTCTTGCTACTCACCATGGTGTGCGACGACGAGTTCGAAGGTGTGTTTAAAAATCACAGTAGAAGCTAGGAGCCATCGCAATCCGAAACTAACACCGTCAAAGTTGACAATCGGACAGTGCTCATATGCCCATAGTTTGGCCAATCGTGGAAAGCTGACCCCAGCGACGCTTTTGGCCGCGCACATCGCTAATACTCCGTTTCACCTCATGTTGTACCGCAGACAAGGCTAGAAGCGCGAGCTCATAGCATTGGGAGCTACTCTTAACGCACGAGAGCTTGTGCCGCCGAGATGTGCCCTGAGCAAGAAGCTTGCGCTTGTAGCCTTTCCTGCGGTACATTCTAAAGTTAAA